CAGGGCTGGGATGCGGGATGAAGGATGCGGGATTGGGATGCAGGATGAAGGATAAAGGATTGGGATGGAGGATGCAGGGCTGGGATGCGGGATGAAGGATGCGGGATTGGGATGCAGGATGAAGGATAAAGAATTGGGATGGAGGATGCAGGGCTGGGATGCGGGATGAAGGATGCAGGATTGGGATGCAGGGGTGGGATGCAGGATGCAGGGCTGGGATGCAGGATTGGGATGTGGGATGAAGGATGCGGAATTGGGATGCGGGAGACAGGGCTGGGATGTGGGATGAAGGATGCGGGATTGGGATGCAGGATGAAGGATAAAGGATTGGGATGGAGGATGCAGGGCTGGGGTGCAGGATGAAGGATGCGGGATTGGGATGCAGGATGAAGGATAAAGGATTGGGATGGAGGATGCAGGGCTGGGATGCGGGATGAAGGATGCGGGATTGGGATGCGGGGGTGGGATGTGGGATGCAGGATTGGGATGCAGGATGAAGGATGAAGGATTGGCACGCAGGGCTGGGATGCGGGATGAAGGATGCGGGATTGGGATGCGGGGGTGGGATGTGGGATGCAGGATTGGGATGCAGGATGAAGGATGAAGGATTGGCACGCAGGGCTGGGATGCGGGATGAAGGATGCAGGATTGGGATGCAGGGGTGGGATGCAGGATGAAGGATACAGGATTGGGATACAGGATGCAGGATTGGGATGCAGGATGCAGGGCTAGGATGTGGGATAAAAGATGCTGGATGCAGGACTGGGATGCAGGGCTGGCATGTGGGATGCAGGGCTGGGATACCGGATTCAGGGCTGGGATGTAGGATGCAGGATGCAGAATGGGATGGGATGCAGGACTTGGGATGTGGGATGAAGGATGCTGAATGCAGGACTGGGATGCAGGGCTGGGATGTGGGATGCAGGGTTGGGATGTGGGATACAGGGCTGAGATGCGGGATACAGGACTGGGATGCAGGGCTGGGATACAGGATACAGGGCTGGGATGCAGTATGCAGGATGCAGGATGCAGAATGCAGGACAGGGATGCAGGGCTGGGATACAGGATGCAGGGCTGGGATGTGGGATGCAGGATGCAGGATTGGGATGCAGAACCGTGATGTGGGATGAAGGATGCAGGGTTGGGGTGCCGGATGCAGGGTGCAGGGCTGGGATGCGGGTTGCAGGATAAGGGTTCCAGGATGCAGGATGCAGGATTTATATGCAGGATGCCGAGTAATTTTGTGGGATGCAGGCTGCCGGGCTGGCATGCAGGCTGCAGGGTACATGGTGTGGGATGCGGGATGACAGATTGGGATGGAGGGTGCAGGATGGAGGACAGAAGAGGGCAGGGGGAGGTGCCCAGCCCCAGCAGGGACACGGCTCTTTCCTCGGGCCTGGCAGCCGGAACAGGGCTATCTCCCACCGCCACAGCTCCTGCGGGAACAGGGCAGTGTCACCCTCATCCCCCTCAGCAGCCGCCCCTGCGTTGTTTCGGGGTCACAGAGCTGCCCTGGGCTGTGCCTGCCCCTCACCGCAGCAAACCCCGGCTCCCGGGTCCCGATCCCCAGGCCTGTCCCTCTGCCAGCCCCCCCATGGCTGGCGTGCCCCGCATGGGCTCGCTTGCGGCCCAGCAGGAGTAATCCCCGGCGCCTTACGGGAGAGGCAG